TCTTGTGTGTCTGCATCATTATAAAGTAAAAAAAAAAACATTCCATAAAAATTTCATTGGGAAAAATTGGGTTTTTTATCAAAATTTGAGAAAAAACAGAAATTCAAAATGGCGACTTTGAGGTCACATGACTACCTAATTATGCAAAATACCAAATATCAATGTTCCTCGCGTAGGCCAACCTATTGCTCGCCCCAACACACAAAAAGAATTTCGAAATAACCTCTTTTAGTATTTTTTTGGAATTATTTTAAAAATTAACTTTTTTCGTTAAAAAAAGTCCCAGCACAGGGGGTGCATATACCTACAGCAGTGAAAGGGTTAAGGCCCCAAGGGGCTAGACAGATCCTCTGGATCCTTCATTATGCCACTGGGTATAATCAAATATAAAGAGATTTTAAAGAAACTAATTTAGAATGGCAATAATTTCCACATATATGAATTATAATTGCATGAGACCCAAAACAGTGACACAAAAGATCGCACACAAAATTTTATTTTAGGACTTACTCCAAAAAGCGGCCTTATTTTGGCCTATTTTTTATAGTCCTTATTCAAAAAGACTTGTTCGCCACCAGAACCATGGGCGAGTAATGTTCCACTTTAACCGGCTCCAATATTATGGCTGTAGATTGTAGCATCTGTGCCTTAACCACTTGGCCAATCAACTTGAAACACATTAGCATCACTAACTATGTTTTATGTATAAATATATGCTCACTTGTCTGGTATTAGACACTTTTATATAAGGCTTTGTAGAAATTATAATAAACAATTATTATAGTTGTAAACCATAAACCATCGTTGGGAAGGCCGTAATCACTTGGCCAATCGACTTGCTCGCCAAAAACAATACTGTGGCACCACAACTTCATTAGTTATAAATATCTCACCATTATACTCCTTGCTAATGATAACTTGGAAAGTCCAAAAATTAAAACCCATCAGAGGCCATTTACAGCCCCTTGGCTCCATCCTAATTCTTACTTTGCTTTCATAAACCCAACCCTATAGAGAGGCCCTGTTCCTTATTCTTAGCACTATTATTCAAAGGGCATTATGTACAGAAAACTAAATTTGATATCGCTAATTTTTTTCTGAATTTGTTTTCTAGAGATAAAGAGAGCTTCTCTTCACCGATCCTGCGCAACATTGGATATCTCATCAGGTACCATTTTGGGTCCGTTGCCTTTGGAGCTTTTATCATCACTTTGGTGAAAATTCCCAGGGCTATTCTACTGTATATGCAGAAGAAGTAAGTTGTAACATTGTCCTAAATTTTGGCTACTGTGTATTATGTATAAATATATACTCACTTGGCTGGTATTAGACACTTCATATTTTTATCAGCAAGGCTTTTGTAGAAATGATAATAATCAATTATAGTTGTAAACCATAAACCATGTCTTTTATTAGCAAGCGCTATTTGGTCTCACCTGGGCTATGGCAGTTGGTCTTTTCTTTTTCTTTTTTGTTCTTTATTTTCAATGTTTGTTTTTTAATGTAATGTTTTATAATGTTATTGTACTTCTACAGTATGCTTGAACTGTTATACTAAATAAATAAATATACTAGTTAGATATTATTTCACGTTTAAATTAATGCATGAAGGAGGGCCTGTTGGGAATTTTTGATTGCATTAATCTAACCTAAGTAAATTTCTGTAATTTCATTAGCTGATACTACTGTATAGAGAAAAATTGTGCATGGTTTTTCAGGTTTTTTTTTTTTATTGCACGCCCATAAAAACAAGTGCCATCACATTATTATTATTCAGGTATATTTATTTAAAAATTTAAAAAAAAACCATTAAAATACAAATTCAGAAATAGAAGCCTTTGGCAATAAAATTTAGTTGGCAACTTTTTAATTTTATTTTTTTCTTCAAAAAACGTGGGTGACCCAAAACAGCGGTTGCTGATGATCATGGATACCCCACATGCAAATATTACAGTTCATAAAATTCGCAATCACAAAGGCTAATCAGAAAATTAAGAGCCCATGACTACAGAAAGTAAAATTAGAAATCCTAACATTAATTGTGATTTGAGCAAACTAATTGGACTCAGAACATGAGCACCATATTCACAATTTCCCTACTGACTTCAAAATGTACTAAAAACTGTCTCTGTCACATTGTAGGTTGAAAGGGACTGAGAGTGAAGTGTTGAGGTTTATGTTGAAGTGTTTATCTTGCTGCCTGTGGTGTTTGGAAAAATTCTTGAAGTTTTTAAATGCAAATGCTTATACTGTTATTGGTAAGTTCCACGGTTTATTTTTGATCATATGTAAAACCTTGTATCGTTGACCGTTGTCGCCCAGTGTTATTACATGGATGATGCAACACAAGGAGGTCTATGCAACAGAAAGGACAATCCATTCAGACTACAAGCAACAATAGGCAGACAGCATTACATTGTCAAGCAATCACAGAGAGCAAAGGATGAATATATTTGTCAGATGCAGGGTATGTCTGGCTTGTGTAACATAAGTACTTGATACATATACCACTGTATAGTAAGAAAAGAGGTAGATTTAATTTGGTATCACAGGTTCTTTTTTTTATATTTGATCTGGAACATCATATCTTACTCAATGTATTGATAAACCATTTTCTTTAATCTGAACAACAGCCTTGATTCAATTTAATTTGAGCCATTAACCTGCAAAATGACACTAAAACTATGAAATTTTTGTACAAGTGCTTATTGTAGCATACTAACCAACAAGCTCATTTTTATATAAATAGTTGTTTTTTCAATTTTTTTAAAGCCATTGAAGGAAGGAACTTCTGTTTCTCTGCCAAGAGGGTAAGTTATGTCACACTATTTTTTTATAGTGCATGTGATAAAGAGTATTATAAGAGATTAAATCACATAATTTGTAAATCATGTAATTATATTTATTTTATTATATTTTCGTGTAAAATTGTTTTATAGATATATTTGTTGTATATTTTAGGCATTCCTCATTCTGGTGTCCAATGCCCTGCGTGTTGCTGCAATTAACTGCGTTGGTGACTTTGTGCTGTTTCTTGGTAAACTGGGTGTTGCTGGTTTAACTGTTCTCTGTGGTATTTTGATCCTGGAGGTGAGGAATTAAACCACAAATATTAGAAACCCAAGTGGTTTTGGAAGTTATAAAGAACATATTTTTGACATTGCATTGTTGAATCCATTTTACAGGTACATAACTAATCAATTACATTCGTCTTTTTAAATGCAGATTTTCAAATACAAATTTATTTATTTCATGGCATATCTGTAGGTTCTAGGTTCAACAGGACTAAATGTATTTAATTGATATTTTATTTATTTATGAAATAAACATTAATAATCATCCTGTATCATTATTAGACATTATCATTATTTTATAGCTTATAATCTAAATATAGACTACAAACTCAGACCCTCAGGCCTACTATAGTTTTTCAAATTTTATTTATATTTATTTTTATATTTTATCATTATATTATTGTTATTGTTGTTTCTTGATGCCGCTGTTGGGTGTTGCTATTACAATCATGGCCTTATAGAAAACAACACTCTCATATATTATTAATAATATAATTTGGCAAAAGTTGGTGTTGCTTAATACCCTATTCAGACTAGACTCTGTTGCAATCGGTTGCGATGTAGTCAGTGGGAATCCAAAACTGATTACTCCCGATCGCAGCCAACGAGCGCAATCAGAACAAATAAGATACAAAAAAGCTTTTAGGAACAGGAGGTCAAACGGTAAGCCACCGGTGGCTAGACATGTTGACTAACCTCAGCCAATTAGTGCCTGTGGAATTTGTTGCGATCGTATTTTGTGCTAATTGAGAGTAATAAAAATTGTAGTACCCAATTGCAACATTTAATAATTGCGATATCAATTGCTTATCGACTATCATTGGTGAGCCTTCACAAACTATTGTGAATTGTGATTGGGTGCGATTGGGTATCGCAATTACTGTACTACAACCGATCGCTCGCAATGGATGCTAGTCTGAATATGGTACAAGGAGGAGCCCAAAATAGTTTTATGATGTTGTAAAAGGCCTCTTTCAAGCTTTTTTTTTAATTTTTTTTTCTACATATATTTATAATTTTTAACAATCCTATATTATTTTTAGGTGATTATAGACGAAAACCAGAAACAATCAGGCTTCTTGTCACTAGATATCTGAAAAGGATATCAATGGATTGTTAAGCATGTATATATAAATATTCTTGTGAAACAAATCTGATTGTTTGTTCTATGATAATGCTAAAGCAGAAGAGCAGGTTATATTTTTGCATTACTGATGGAGAATTTATGTATGATAACTGTTGTCCCAGCGTACATTATTTATTGTTTTAATCTTATTTCATTAATTCATTAAGGTTGGAGGTGAGACTTATTTTATTAAATAATGTTATTTAATGACTATGTTTTAAATTTCATGATTGACATATATCTATGAATTTGATATATCATTTATGTAAATTTTATGTTTTAATCATCATGTAAGTTTTAATCTGCTGATGTTGTCAATGTAATTGTTTTTTGCTGATAACCATTTCGTCCTAGGGTGTTGACGATCTGAACTATTATGCCGTGCCACTCTTGGCCGCAGCTATATTTGCATTTCTTATCGCATGTGCGTTTTTTTCCATATATGAGGTAGGTTACAGGTCAGCAGGATTTGGATAGCACGCATAAATGTAGTGGCACCTGCAGCCATCTTTGCTATCAAAGCATGGTTTATTTGTGTTTAATATTTTATAATAAAACTGAAAAGGATGAGTATGGTTGAGCTTTTGTACCTTAAAAAAAACTATTGAAAAATTCAAAGAAAAGACATTCAGAAAATTTCATTAAGTATTAATTTATTTTTGGATGATAATTAGAGGTATAGACAGTTCAAACATTCTTATTCCACTAACCTTTCACTTAATCCTTTCCCATATTCATATTGTTTGGTGTTTAATAGACTGTTATTGATAGAATGGGTTGAGTTTGTTCTTTTTATTTTCTATAGAGCATTGGGGAATTTTCAAGTAGCTCATACACTTGTTTAGCTGTGCCCTTATTAATTGGTGTCATCTTTGCATATTTTATAACCAGTGCATTCATTTGCGTATATGAGGTGGGTATCTTGGGGTAATAATTGGTGACGTTTATATACACAATTTGAAACAGTTTTGAGGTCAAAATTCCTCACTACCCTCATTCCCTAAAGAAAATATTAAAATTAAAAAGGAGTAATGGCTCCTAAGGTGAGACACTTTAATTGATTGTTTTAGCGAAATTATGTTGTTTTAAAGGTTGTCAGGGGAGGGCAAAAACAAATTTCTTTCGTTAAAAGCAAAGCAAAAGCAATATTATTGATGAATGAAAAAAATGTGTGAGTGTGCAAAGTAGAAAAGGAGTAGAGTGTGGTCTTTGCTTTTACCCAAAATTTTATTGCATGGTCGTAAATTGTGTGATATTATGATGTAAACTGCGTAGTAGTGGGATTGATAAATGCTTTGAATTTATGTAATTAAGAAAGAAATAAAGATTTCTTATTTTGGTTGATTTCAAAGCAGTGGCAGGTGCAATTAAAATAAATAAAAAGGCAAATTCGCAAAAAGTCTCACCTAAAAGACACCTAAAGAAAGACAAGCTTTAGCAGGCTTCATTCTCATTCTTCAGCGCCGTACAGAGTTAGATGGTTTGGCTCAGTGCATGTGCTCAGTTGGGCCTAGCTACAGCATTTCTAGAAGATTATTTAATTGGTCTCTATAACAAATTAGTAACTGCTCAGGGAGGAGAAAATTAAAGTTAAGACATCAAAATAAATACTAAACTATAGTAAATGATATATATGATATTGGACCTTACTACACTCATAACATAGTGAGCACAAAATATAGTTTTGGTGTGTAGATGCAAAGGCAGTGGCGTAGCTACTGGGGTCAAGGGGGGGGGGCAAGTGCCCCGGGTGCACGGTTTGGGGCTCGCTGAAATGGGAGAATGAGAGTAAAAAAAAATAACCACTTTTTAGAAAAGCATAACGAAATTGATGTATGTCGTCAGGCATGAGTATTTTCCAGTTATATAATACAAATCTGAATGTAGTTGTTTTTATTAGCAAATTTATAGATTGTGATTTCTTTTCAGTCCATTTCGACCGTTTTCTCTTTCTTTCTTATCCTATTCTGTATTCCGACTACATGATTATCCTATTCTATATTCTGACTACATGACTAAAGCTCATCCTGCCATATCTCAGAGCCACGATGGGACAAGTGAGACTATCTGCTTTGGCACGCGCTTCGCTCCCTAGACCACTTTCAGAACATTTTAAGCGACGCTTGACCACGCCCACTTTTTTCTCGTCAGTGAAATCTCCCCCCTCGTTGGGGCATCGCCACCGAACCCTACACAACCCCCCCGTCGGGCAAATCCTGACACCACCCCTGGTTCGAAAGAACCTACCATTTGAGAGCAAGAACAGTGCTTATTTTTATATTATAATTGGGGGAAGGGGAGCGCAATTTTCTACTCTTTCCGCCGGGGGCCAAAACCTCTAGCTACGCCACTGTGTGAAGGTTTTTAAATTAAGCTTAAGCAGTAAGTAATGCTTCTGATCTGAGAAATATATTAACATAATTCAGAATTAACATAACAAAATTACATTTCTAAAATGCTAATTTATTATTGCTTTATAAAAGAATTACATTGTTAACCCACACCTAAATGAGATACTACATCTGTCTCTTATACACATCTAGATGTGTATAAGAGAACACATGCATCACCAGCATACAGTAGATATAGTTTGCACTTCAAGCATGTTGTATATGCACCTACTGTCATTTGTACGTACTAGTTTAGTGTCAAGATAATTCGTATTTTTATTATTGCACGGAGTTATTGGACATATTTATAAATATAGGTCCCCATCCCTGGACTCACTTCTATACTGTATATCATTAGTAATGAGTATTGGTGTATCTCCAACTCCTCAATAAAAATATGATACTTCATGGCTTGAACTTCGAAGGTATGCATTTGTATACTGTAAAAGAACAAACATGGACAACTGTGATCACATTCTAAATATTTAATCTCAGATAAATATCGTATACGGTACCAGTCTATCTCAGATAAATCTTGATGGAAAAGATATAAAACATGGGCTTGCTTAAAATAGAGAGTTTACTGTAAAAAAACTGACCAGGTATAACCCTATACTGTTCTATAAAATTTAATACCTTGAGGAACGCAATGTTCTTTATAAATTCAACTAAATATTGAAAATGTTACATTGAAAAGTGTCTGTCTTAAAACAGGAATCTCTTGGTGTTGATGTGTTTTTTTAAACCTATTTCATTCAATTATTTGACTCTAGATGACAGTGGACTGTCTTCTGATTTGTTTCTGTGAGGACACCAGGGTAAATGATGGTTCACCAGAAAAACCATACTATATGGAGAAAGGGTTGATGGTAAGTTTTATCTTTTTAATGTACAAATCCTATTGTATACTGTATTGGAAAGCTTCAACTGTCTATTATATTTCTCCCATGCTAAATAACTGCTGTTTGTGAGCTACTAAATGTCAATACTTGTATGAAAAACTATAAATATATGTGTTCCCAGCATCTAATACTAAACTGCTGTAATTGTAATTGTGATTTTATTCGTTGTATAAAAAAAAAAAAAAAACTATCAATACATATCTTGTTTTATGTTAATGTAATGGATGTCATATTAAAACCCAACAAATTCAAAAAAACATCACAAAACAAAAAATTGGAATCGCAAGTCATTGCTCAAAAGCTTTTCCTGTTGACAAAAAAAGTTATCTATAGGAAAATTCTTAAACAAAATTCTTAATAAAAGCTTGATAAGGAAAGTAAGACCAAGTAAAAGTGTCTGTCTTGTTAAGTTTTCCTATTTCTTGCAGGATGTACTTTACCATGGCAAAAAGCTTACAGTTGCCCAAATCCATTTTACAGTCACCGTTAAGTTTTCCTATTTCTTGCAGGATGTACTTTACCATGGCAAAAAGCTTACAGTTGCCCAAATCCATTTTACAGTCACCGTTTCCAAGACTTTGAGAAACATTTCCTTTTTCGAGTTGAACAAAATATTTTTTCCATTCAAACACCTTGAGATATCCTGTAATTGCATATTAAATGCTATGTTAACAATAACCTGTGACTATTACATGTTTTCTTTCCTGTTTACCAGCGCTTTGTGAATGTAAGTTGTTGTGCATTATCTGTGCGGTACGGAAATTTAAGCACCACATTCTAATCCCACAATGCTTTTGTTTTGAATGTTAAACGTTTCAGTTGCTTTTAAGTTTGTAATATAAATTATAGATATTGTGTATCTTGTCAAGCTTATTAATGTGATTATAACAGTGCTGTCTATTAATCATCCAGAGAATGCATTTTATGTTGACATGTGATGTACAGACCATAGTAGAGGATCAATCACACACTATAATCACTACAATGAACTTTAAGATTTCTTGCACCGATTATTTTACTTCTAAACATTACCAACAAAGACTCATTTTTTAAAAGTTGTTTTTCTCCAACTGCATTTTAAACAGGATATTTTATCTTTTTTTATGTTGCTGTGGATAGATGATATCACAAAATTTTGAAATTTATATTTATTACACAAGTTTTTATCATCAGAATTTAAAACATACTAACAGGTCTGTTTATAAAGGCTTCACCATGTTCATCTGCACCTTTGTATTCATTCATCATTGGAAATACTGTACTGTATTTAGTTTAATGTATGACTGTACTACTAATACCTGTACTTAGCAGAGATAACCATTGCATTGCCAACATCAACCGTGATAATTATAACCAAGAAAATTATTTTTTTGTTACGCTTACCATTTTACCATGAAAACAGTGGCGGGGCATTTGTAATATTATTACTGTCCATTAAACCAAACATCACTCTCTAGTGTCCCATTAAAATATTTCAACAATACAACTGACTGGTATTTAACGAGTGGTGGCGCCAGTGGGGGATCTTGGGGGCCAAGCCCGTAGGCGGGATTTAAAAAAAGGGGGGGTGGGGGTTTCTAATTTTACACAAAAGGGCACTTTGAATCCTTACCCTACTCAGCCCTACCATGGCTGGTGTAAATTTTAAAGATATAATGCCTCAGATGCAAGGAAATTGCAATAAAATGCCAAATTTCAAATATTTGAAGTTAATTTTAAGAACTTCCATGCAAATGGTACATTTTAATAATTTAAAAGGGCATTTCTGGAAAAGGGGGTTCTTTCGAACCCCTCTGGTTACGGGCTTGGTCCCCCATCAGGGAGAGCTGCCCCGCCACCCACCCCAGTTGGAGAGAAAAACCACAATTTGTTGGGGAGAAAACAAAAATTATGTGTTTTTGCTTCATATTAGTAGACTCTATAAATTACATTAAGTGTAAGCCTGTAATATTTCGGGGGCTTAGCCCCGGACTACTTTTGACACATTTTGAGCAAAACCTGACCACACCCACTTTTCCCTTGCTGGGGACCATGGCTCCCATGTCGGGTAACTTCGTCTATAAAATTCAGCAAAATTTACTGGCAATGAAATGTTTACTGATTTCATGGTATGTAATTTTGTATATTCAATCATTTCTAAGTGCATGCATTACAATATTATACAATCTTTAATTGTTTTTTGGATATATTTTTTCTCATGCATTCAAAAATATATTATTGTTAATAAATTCAGTTGCAACTTCATAAATATAAAACTGCATACTGGTAACAGCAGTGCATTCCTCTATGCTTGCTATGAATATTCTCATAGACAACAAGACTGTTGTTTTATTTTAACTAAATATGCTGGTGTCCCAGTGCCCCAGTCAGCTATGTGGGATGATCTGTAACTTTTTAAATAATTTGGTTTCTTCCTTACTTTCAATCATAAAGTTTGTGTAAAATGTCCCACAAGAAAACTCATACCTGATATAGTCTATAAGACAGAATTGCAGCAATGCATATGCATGACAGCCAACATGTTTTAATCAAGTACACCTATACACACTGGATTAATTTTGACAAAGACGAATGGCCTTGATTAAATTAAACATACTGTATATGTTCATATCAACGATACCATACAACATTTATTTTTCTTGATACAACTTAGGGGGGGTGTGATTGCACCCCTGCATCCGCCTGTCCTCCAATATCTTGGTAACTGTATATTATGGGAATGTGAATTTGAGGTAGTGTAATTGTGGCTAGTTGCCACATTTACAATAATCTGCATGTTCACAAAAAGTAACAAGAGGATGTCAGGAATAGACTTGTTTTGTTTACTTGATTCTGTAGATCCAATCAGAAAATCTACCGGAAAGGTAAACAAAACAAACCTGTCAATATTGCCAACGGCTGTATTCGAAATTTTTTTTTTTTCATATCAGGAATTTGTGAACAACAGCAGCAAAGCTATAGACAATGAGGACAAACCAGGACCTGCAGCACCACAAGCAGAAGATGTCAAAGATGCTGCTCCTGAAGAGGTGGAGCCTGCCCTCAAGTCTGAGAAACTTTATCCTGATCTTAATGAAGAAGGAAAGTAAGGTCATTGACCATGGAATGTGTTCAACTTGCTGATTTTGATAATGACTTGATATTTTCTTTGTGACTTAACAGCTGAATTTACTGACATATCTGTGGGTTGGGGAGCCTGAAACATCAGTTCATTCCTGAAACATCAATCCCCATAGAAATGCCACTGAATATCTAGATATCTGAAATTGTTTATGGATTGTATGTGAGTGTGAATATAATTTCTGTGTTTTTACTGTAAGAAAAATGTTAAAATTAAATGTATAACTTTGGGGTAATACAAAATCTAATATAGAACGGACGGCAGCACCAAATTTAATTGTCATGAATGTATTTTCTGATCTGAGCATCAATTATCAAAAATTCTCTGAGAATTGGTTTGTTTCCCGTAACTCTTTGACTAACACAACCTAAATTTTGATGTATTATAAAATTATTGGCTTGTCTCTAAACTTCCTATTCTAAGTATAAATAATTGAATACCATGTGTTTCCATTCTTAAACATCTTCAGAGAATTATTTTTATTGATCGAATGTGGAGGAAATAATGATACAACAGGTTCTGCTCTAAATTGGCTTGCTAGCTACCAACATGATCATACCAACACATGTATATTCTGAGCATCAACACTTGCAGCATAGTGTACCTCAAAGGTCCACTGTTCTTTACTATGAATGCACAACATCATACCATCAAGTGTTTTCGAATTGCTATCACATTAATTTATGCTGATATACAGCTCTATGTTCGTTTTCATTTTCCATCCCTGCTGCAAAAAAAAAAAAAAAAAAAAATCAGATGTGTGGGGCCTAAATTATGGAACTGCTTTCCAACCAATGTGTGTGAAGCCACCTAACATGAACTTCAAAAAATGTCTCTCTTTCCAAACAATAGGGTTGATTTTGCTTTGTGTGTGTGTGTTTTTTTTCTTCAAGTTTTTATTTGTACAGCAAGCGCTTTGGTATTTGTGGAAAAGCACTCGATAAATCTTGTAATGATAATACTGTAATTTCAAAGTTTGTAAAACAAGCTATAACACTCCTCTTCTTCTAGTATTTTATTTTTTTCAATGAACTTCCTTAAATGAGGCTGATAATCATGTAATTGGTATAGTAATTGTTTAATATAGATGGCAATGCTAAATGAGTGTTTGAGTGTACAAATCTCTCAACCAGTTTTGCATGTCTACATAGTGTTGAAAGGAATATTTGATAGTACTTTTGTTTTCAACTTATTTATAGTTATTCATGAAAGTGGGCCACAGGTTGCGTAACGCAAATCTTTTTATAGTACCATGGTGACAGTACATTGATAGCTTGTATTTTATACATGAATCTTGTAATTTTCATTGAATATCATTTGTAAAGAATTATTTGTGGTTTTGATACAAATTATTAATTTGATGATCAAGAACTTAATGTATGTATAAATTAATACATTAAATAGTATCCATAATGTGTATTAACCAAAGATGAAATATGGATATCTGAATCATACTACACTGGAATACTATACATGTCATTGTCATGAGTTAAAGCTGTTAATTTATTCATGATTGTATTATTATAAATCATGGAGACACTAATTTTAACACTGTATTATCAACTTATTTATTAACTGAATTTATAAATAGTATTTGAAGTATATGCAATACTATAACATTTTGTAACAGCATGTTTTATGTTTTTAGTGCCATAATATGTTTGTTTAACCCACCAACCTTGCCTTTTAATTTTGTTTATACTATAGTTTTAGTAAATTTGTATTCCTTTCTAGCAAATATCTTTATCAAGAACTGTATCTGTATAATTTGCCATATTGCACCTTGTAGTGCTGTAATATTGGTCCTGTTAGAAATATTTTGTGGGATGTTAACATTACCCAGTATTATACGTCAATATATTTTATTGTACTTTAGATCTCTTATAATCGATACATCTTTCATATATACAATAAGTTTATTATGTATACACATTCAGTCTTGAATAAAAATATTACACAGAAGTGTACGTTTGTGTTCATATGTATGCACCCTCTAACTCACTGGTCCAGTAGTAGTACCTCATGTTCAACCCACCAACCAGGTCAAGTATACAGGATGCTTGAACATAGCTATTCCACTATTACTATTGAATTCCACTTTCCAACATACCGTAAAACCTTGAATTAAAGCCCTGCGCTTTTGTTTGCGGGCTTTTGATGGGCTTCTTTTCGAGGCTACTTTTGCAAATTAAAGAAGGGGTTCTTTTCAAAATGAATGCGGTAAATTTTGTGAATTTGTACTATAAAACAATAAATAAGGCCACTGTAACATCAATGTGTATTATGGAGAGTATTTCACCAGTATTAAATAACCTAAACCACTGTATAAACCAGGCTTTGAATTTATTTTGTGCCGTACTATCTCGAAAAGAAAACTATGATATCGAGGCTACTTTTGCAAACTAAAGAGTGCGGGGGGGGGGCCTTCATCTCGAGATTAAGCCCATTGGGCATCAATTTGAGGTTTTACGGTATTTTTATCATTTTTAGAGATGACCAATCAAAAGGGAATTTTTCAGCCCTGCATGCTTTATTCAAAGCCAAGTACAGTGGTACAAATCAGATAAGCTACTCATTCAAACCACACCCTGGACTTTGCCAGAGGAAAGTCTAGTAAAGTATGTAAAATTTGGCATGAAGTGGGCTCATACCCAATGAACTAATGGAACAGTAGTTTTCTTCCACCTGAATTTTTAGATCCCTATAATTTAATATACTGTACAGTATTTTAAATTGCATATAAAATCTTGTTATGAAAGTTTAACTAATGTATCTGCATACTGAAAGTCTTCACTTTGTTCATACTGAAGCATATCAAGTGCAACTTCACAGCTTTCCCTCACAACCACCTCTTTATCTTGAGTGAAATCTTGCAGTGTATGTAAGCACTCCTGGGCAGCAATAGAACCAAGGGCTTCTGCACATTCATGCCTTACCATTGGGTTCTCATCCTCTTGTTGTAAGTTACATTTCAACTGTTTGATTCCTGCTGCATTCTGCATCTGTCCGAGGACATATGCGATTTCATGCCGGAAAAGTGCACTACTACATTTCAAGCCTAGAAAGAAAAGTACCAAAAGCTTTCATTTATTTTGCTGCATCATGCTTAAGAAGGCGGCGCTAGCCACACTCTGTGATCTAGTAAGTAGCCTGCATTCATGTTCCCTCCAACCACTGGTTATGCGGCCATGAACTTTTCACAACTCTGGCATGTTATGAATGAAGTTGTCAATTCCAATTCAACCTATAGAGTATTTTAAAGATAACCTTCAGTATTATATAACTTTTTTATTCATTCGGACCCTAGAGTGGGCCACACTGTGAACCAGAACAGAGATGACCAAGGCTCTAGTCGGCCCGTCATCAAATTTCTGGAGCCAACACTGTAGTTAAAACTTGGATGGGAGAGTGTCTTCGACTACACCGGGCTGAAATAACTGAAATAAGCATCAAAGAACAAGTGTAAAAAACAAATGTGATAATGCTAAGCGCCATGTTTCATAGTTTACAAATGGGAGCGTTCACATAAAGTAATTCAAAAATGCTTTACATCTTTTGTAAATTTACTTTCAGAAAAAGTCATCCTTTTCAGACTTAACACCTGTCATTTAGGCACAAGTAATCATTCAGAGAGTGAAACATTGCAAGTAAGAAGCTAACCTTCAGCCAGTGCCAAAGCTGAAGCATCAGAGTTGATATTCCTGAGTGAGAACATGGCCCTGTAACGATCAAATAATGGCAACTTCTCATCTAGTAGTTTCCGTTGCAATACTACAAGGTCCTCTTCTGTTAATGGTGGAGCAGGGTCGACAGAGCTAAATGGATTTTTACTTGATTCTTTCTGTTTCTCTTTACTATGCAGCCATTCTATACGTTCCACTGCTAATTGGCATGTTTCAGCAACCTGTCAAGGGAAAGAAATTACAGAAGTTAATGTACTGAACTACAATTTAAAATTAACTTTAATTTCTCTTCTTTAGTCATTTATACCCAAACATATATTATACTGTGAGTAGATTACAGGTGCATGCAGCTGTACCCACAAACTGTATATACTGTAGAGTGGGAAATCATTGCCTCTATTCGGTTCAATTTTGAGTTCAAATTTCAGTTGGGAGGGTTTTTTTTTTTAGCACTAGCTGGATTCCAACGAATTAAAACTTGTACATAAAACATTATTACTGCAATATAGTAATTATTTCTTGCTTTAAAAGATATTACCATGGCACGATGTAGTGATCATTTTCTTACCTCAATTATTGGGTCATTACAATATTCTTTTAGAATGCCCATCACGCTATTACAGCCAATAGCACCAAGAGCTTCACCTGCAAATTTTAGAAAATGTTATTACTGTGTACAAAACTTAGTAAGAACTACATTAAAAGCTCAAGCCAATAAAAACAATTTCTTAATAACATGAAAAGAAACAAAACAACAGCTAAGCATTCATCTAGTTCTGAAACCGTCTTAGCTCCTGCTTTCGAGCACCTGAAGCGATATCTTTACAGCCGTATGATTTCTTAGTTGAACCAAAATCTGAAGTTCGTAACCTTGGTGTTACTTTCGATTCGACTCTGCAAATGAAATCCAACATCAACACTGTGTGTCGGTTTTCCCATGTTGTGATCCGTAAAATTGGAAAGATTAGGAAATTTTTTGACAACCCGACCATCCTCCATCTAGTTCACGCCTTTATAACTTCAAGGCTGGATTATTGTAACCGCCTCCTTATTGGACTACCAAAGTCTCAAATCTGCAAATTGCAACTCATTCAAAATTTTGCCGCCCGTCTTGTACTTTGAATAAGCGCAGTTACCATATAACCCCAGTTCTCCATCAGCTTCACTGTCTCCCCATTGAAAAACAGATCATATATAAAGTTGTTCTCTCTAGAGTTGCAAATCTCTGAACAATCTCGCTCCAGAGTATGTGACTGAACTTCTTATAATCAGTACATCCCTACACGCTCTCTCCATTCATCCACACTAAATCTTCTTAAAGTCAAGAAAACCAAACTTTACTACATATGGCTCCCGAACCTTTTCTTCCATTGCTGCCACTTTGTGGAATACCCTCCCAGAACACATTAAAAATTCTGATTCAATTCTCACATTCAAATCACTGCTAAGAAAAGAAATGAATTTGAAATGATAAGAAGGTATGGAAAGAAAAATAAGAAAGTAAAAGGAAAGGAAAGATAAACTAAGGAAGAAAAAAGAAAAGATAAGTAAGAAACATGAGAAAAGAAAGGACATACGAATTATAAGAAAATGAAAGATAAGATAAGGAGACATAAGAAAGAACAAGAAAAGTAAAGATCAGGAACATTTGAAGGGAAAAGGAAAAAAAGACAAGAAGCAAAAGGGAAAGAAAAATGAAAGGCTTTGAGATGAATAGGAAAGTAACAGGCCTTGAAATGGTTCCAATTACCAAAGTATTGTAATAATAATATTTATTGATAATCATCAAACCAATCATTTGAACTTAAATTAAACTAAACTAAAATCCAAATTTTTGATAATAATTTTTGGTACATTTGCATTTGTTTTGGTTTTTTTTTCCTTCTCTGTTGTTAAGTGCCTCAAGGTTGTGTCAACGTGAGGCGCTATATAAATCCAGAATTATCATTACAGGTATTTGGAACAAGTAAACACATGCTTTTAGCTAGAAGTAGTTAAGTTGATTTTATTGTAAAGTTTTAATGTGTTGTAGGGCCCTCAGAAGAGCAGTGTATTACTGAGAGTGCTACCCTACTGAAAGAAAACGAAATAAATAAATAAATCCACAGAATGGGTTACAGACCAGTGGGTTGGTTTAGGAGGTGGAGCCCCTCCAATTTTGTATACTATTTTGGACAATAAATTTTTTGATTTTTAAAATTTTCAATTTTTAGATGTTCTCAGAGGGCGGAGGGTGAAACATAGTTCTATTATAAATAAATCATAAATGAATTTTATGATTCAAAACGATTGGAAAGTCTCAGTGAGTGCAGTACCCCCATATATAAAAGGTAAAGGCAATCAGTTAAAATTGTTGAAAAAGCAAGTCAAAGATCAACGTATTACATATCCTAATGAAAATGATGTTGACCAAAATGCTTTCAGGAAGTATTACTCAAATGTTAAAGGCCTTCACCGTGTATAATGCGAAGTAATAGCTACATGCGTTATCGATATTGCAAAGTGTTTTGACACAATATATTATAGAGAAAAATTGAAAACTATGATGGATGTTGGAATGAGTTATCTGTGGTTCCAAAATTACTTGGCTGGAAGGAAGCAAATAGTTAAATGTCACAATAAACATTTCTTTATTAGATTTTTTTTATAAGGGGGTGGAGCCCTTAAATACAGTAGGAGCTCAGGGCCCAGGTTCAATGAACCTGCGGTAGTTACGCCACTTTGCAGACATACTTTGCCCCTGGTTAAAGGACAAGTTTACTGATTTTATATAATTTGAGAACTCATTAATAGCATAATCCCATTTTAAAATTACAAATCTCATGTGCGTTTGTCACATCCACACTTAAAACTAAATTTGTGATGACGTGCCTGCTCCATCCAAGTTTCCAATGGCCCAGGAAGTCAAAGAAGAAATAGTACATGTACCTGTAATTACAAGTACACCTACCAGATGAAGAAAGACACTGAACATCAAGAAATGAAGAAAAACAGAGAGAAGCATGATAGCCAGTGGTGTAACGCCTGTGCGCTCTAGTGCGGTGGCCTGCATAGCCCCGACCCGATAGGGCCGACTTGCCCCTTGACCCAAAAGGGCTTTTTGAGACAACAGAACCAGACCTCTGCGAAGCCTAAGATTCCTATGTGAGCATTCGTGAAATATTGCAGTACTATATTTGCGATGACCAGAGTGACCCAACAAACGAAACCAGGGAGACCTCAAGTCTTAATCCAGCAGTTTCATTTTTATTGTTAAGCGCATCGAGGCTTTAGCATAATGCACTATTTAAGCCAAAATTATTATAATAATAATAATTATTATTATTTTATTAATCTGGGCATCAGGTTTTTTTTGTTCTGCTTGTTTAGTGCCAATGATAAAAAGGTGTAGGCTAGTAGCTGCGGCGACTGTAGGATATATTTTCTGGGGCTGAGCTGTCCAACAGGGGGACTAGAGCTCGTCCCCCCTATTACAAATTCCTGCATTCGCCACTAATATCATATCATATAAAAACAATTTAGCAGAGTATTTAACCCTACCACTTTAGTCAGATTCACATCTGTATACTACTAATTATTATTTCAAAAAAATATAATATAAATGCCAAATAAGAAATACTTGGGCCGGCCGGGAAGTAAAGAACTTTCAGAGAGATGCCAGGGGAAATCTAAGTCATTATTTTTTGCTGTTGTTTTTATTTTAGCTGAGACAACTATACAAGGAGATTGGAAACGCGACTGGATTCTATTGTTCTCTAGTTTGTGATGTCTTATGTTTCATTGATATGCAAATAAGGTTGTTCGAACCGCAAGCGGTCAACTTCCACACACGAGACAAGCGGATATTTTCGTGGCGGTATTGGACGTACAATATTTTAAAAAAATATTTAAACTTATACTTTGGCAATTTCTCTGAAAGGTAAGATACATAAACACATAATTATATTACAGTTTAAATGTCTGAAATTTATGGTATGCGTACATAAGGCTACCACAGGCTTGTAATTCGGCAACCCCTACCCTCAGCCGTCCAGGGCTAGGCATAACCAGGTCCCGACACTTGGTAAAATGCCTGAATTGAAGAAACACACTAAATCCATAGTACAGTTTACACACATTTATAAGCACATATGTTCTGAAATCATTTACCACAACAGAAATGATAATTTTGTGTGTACCTAGTAAGCCATGTTCAGAATCAGAGAATATGTACATACAGTCCAATTGACATACAGTATTTTCGTATTAATTACTGCTTTTTGAGCAAATGAATGTTGGAAACTTTTCTCTAATATTCATGAATCATTGACAGGTAATATACCGAAAGATTAGCTAAACCTGTTTGTACCTATATTAAATATCTTTATGGATTACATGATTATAAATACGAAATACTGCCTTAAATTATGCCCTAGTTTAGGCCTACAGTGTGGTCTAGCCATTATAGGCCTAGGGGCATAGGGCCGTTTCGGCCGCGAACAAGTTCGGCTACGATGTCAGGGACGCCTATTCAGTGATTATGAACTGAGCATGAGCACTAAGCATTCGCTTAGCTGCAACAGTGTTTGGTTGACTGGATTTGCATATCAAAAGCATACAACACACAACGAATCGCCGGGATGGAAGAACAAAGGAAATCTCGGGTCGTTTCCATTCTCCTTCTATAGTTGTCTCAGATTTTAGTAATCATATAGGCCTATATCGTAAAACCTCAAATTTAGAAGCCCTGGGCCTCCTCAAATTTTTAGGACCCTTCAATGGGCTTCTTATTTAGACCTATACTTAGGTACATTATACCTAATTATAGTATACTATAGGTATTATATATATAAATCATTATTAATAGGTAAAATCTAAATCATCTTAACTTATATATAAATATAATAGGAAACGAATACTATATAACAATATGGACTTTAGAAAAACTTTAATTGGAAAAGAATTTCAGTATATTCAAATATGCCTAGTATATACATCTGTCTCTTATACACATCTCTTAAAAAGTGATACAAAATGTAAAATATGACCAAATCGGGAACAAATTAACAAAAATATGAAAAATGTTTTAAAAATTGGTTTTTTTTAAACATTTGATTCAGCATTAAATCATGTTTGTTTTGTACAAATTAGATGAGAATCCAACATTTGTTTATGTTTTAAGACGTTTTTAAAAGAAAACTTATTCTTCATTATGTCAACATTTTGTCCAGAAGTTACTGTCCTGAAGTTACCACATGATTTTTTAAAATGATCATCATATTAATTTAAGTTATCATAATATATATATATTATATATATAATGTATATATATATATATATAATGTATATTTAATATGCCAATTAATCAGTAGGGTTATATCGTTATTAATTAATAGTTTGTAATATGCCTTTTCATTATTATTATTTAAATATTATTTTTATTACCGTAATGCTGCTTGTATTATTGTTAATGAAAAAAGAATGACAAAGGCAATATTTAAAACACTTTAATTTTAACACTTTATATTAATTTTGGCATAGTTTGGTAATTATTATTCGTAAATATACAGTAAATTGGGGCCGAGTTAACTTGGGGCCGAGTTGATATGGGGCCAAGTTGACTTGGGGCCGAGTTGACTTGGGGCCGAGTTGATTGGGGGCCGAGTTGATTTGGGGCCGAGTTGCCATGGGGCTGACTTTGGGGCCGAGTTGACTTGGGGCCAGCCGAGCTGACTGGGGCCGAGTTGATCTGCTTCCTGTCATACATTTGGGCAGACTCACCTGCTTCATGCCTGACCATAGTATCCTGTTTTGTATCCTTCAAAACGGTAACTAGTTTTGGTATAGCATATTTATCCTGCATTTGTCCTAAACAATAAGCACACTCGTGTTTTAGGAGGGCAGATTGGTCGGAAAAGCACTCAACGATGTAGTCTATTGCAGTCTCTCCTCCCAGGTTTCGCAACGTAAACAATGCACGAAACCGCTCTGGCAGGGGCCTGGCTTCATCACATAAAACTGCACCGATCCTTTTTATTTCTACTGTACTTGGCATAGTGGACGTTACATTGACATTCGGTATATTTCTTAATAATAGAAAATAATATTAAAAATAATAGTAAGTTTCTATATAAAGCACACTCTCATCCAACTCGTCCCCTGCTTTGTATTGCTAATACTGTATCTAGGCCTGCATGCGACCACAGCTAAGATGTAGTGGCTATCGGCACTGCCGCAGTGCCAAAAAAAGCTGCTGTTTTCTATCGGCACTGCCGCAGTGCCAAAAAGCTGCCGTTTTCTATCGGCACTGCCGCAGTGCCAAAAAGTTGCTGTTTTCTATCGGCACTGCCACAGTGCGAAAAGCTGCTGTTAATTAATCGAATCGATGTTTCTATCGATAGATGACATTGGTATAATTCATAATTCATAATTTTATTTCACTCAAAACGTAATGAGACTGGTTAGGCAAAAAGGAACATGTTACTGTACAAGATGCCTTCCAGAGAAACAATGATAATGTTAATTAATAATAATAATAATAATAATAATAATAATAATAATAATAATAATAATAATAATAATAATAATAATAATAATAATAATAATAATAATAATAATAAAAATAATAATAATAATAATAAATAATAATAATAATAATAATAATAATAATAATAATAATACAGATAATAATAATACAGATAATAATAATACAGATAATAAATAAATAATACAGTAATAAAAAGTAAATGATAATAATAATAATGAATGAAGATCAAAATATATCATTGAAGTGAATTCAGTTATTTATTAAAACAAGATTTGGAGGGCTGGACTGTCATGAAGGTATTGTATTAATGATGTTCTAAATATTTGCCTTTATTATATCAATAATTGATTAGGTCTAGCTTAGCCTATAT